CCGCAAGTTCGTTAAACTCCTCCCCCTTCTTCAATCTAATTTCGCGACCGGTCGAGATCGTTTCGGGGACTCGTGTCTTTCTTGAACAAGGGGTGTTATATCGAGGGTCATCGAAATGGTGTTTGCTTGTTTGATTTTGTGGATCGATAAGAGGGAAATCTTGTTGCGCGTTTGTCTTCTTTGATGCCATTGTGAACGCTTAATTGAACGCTGGGGATACACATTTTGATCTTGTGATATGATTTTTGGGACCGGTGAGTGGTTTTGCTAGTTTTTTACTGGTTTTGTGATTAGGGAGCTTCTGAATTTTAGGGGACTTTTGGATTAGTAATATTTATTTAGGATACGATTAGGAATCTTTTGGAAGGATGGTGATATAGCGTTTAAAATATTACAGTGCATTAAATTTGTACGTGGTGGAGATATAGAACGTGGTGCTGCAATGTAGAAATTTAATATGTAGTAATATGACGCGTAGAAATTTGGTGTGTAGTAATACTAAGCGTAGGGGTACAACACGTGGTAATATAACACGAGGGAACTCGACAAGTAGCGATATAACGCGAGGTAACTCGACGCGTGGTGATTCCACATATTGCAATATAACGCGAGGGAACTCGACGCGTGGTAACTCGACATGTGGCGATATAACGCGAGATAACTCGACGCGTGGTAATTCGACACATGGCGATATAACGCGAGGTAACTCGACGCGTGGTAATTCGACGTGTGGTAATTCGACGCGTGGTAATTCGACGCATGGTAATTCGACGCGTGGTAATTCGACACGTGGCAATATAATGCGTGGTAATCCGACGCGTGGTAATTCGACACGTGGCGATATAACACGTGGTAACCCGACACGTGGCGAAATAATGCGTGGTAACTCGACGCGTGGTAATTCGACACGTGGCGGTATAACACGTGGTAATCCGACGCATGGCGATATAACGCGTGGTAACTCGACGCGTAGAAATACTATGCGTAGAAATACAACGCGTACCAATATAACGCGTAGCAATACTGCGTGCAGCAATATAACACATGGCGATATAATGCATAGAAATCTAACGCTCATAACTCAACAATTCCCTGACACTCAACATCTCCACTAATCTCCAGTCCTTTGTTCCCAAATAATTTCGATTTAACAACCGTCCTGAACAAAATCTCACACATCCACAAAAATTTAAGGAAAAATTGATTTCACGAACGAAAGATCACGAGATTTCATCTCACGATTAAATCGCCGTCATTATTTCAGCCGGTGTGAAAGTAATTCGAAGAGCTGCAAGTATCGCGACACGACGGAAATATTTTCGCAACAGCTACGTGACTTTCGAAAATACGTTCGCAGCATGCTGGAAACGCGGACTAAACAAGTGGTTCTCCGCGGATGCCAGGATTGAAGCTTCGTGACTGGAGAAAATTGAATTAAAGCCGAGAGGATCGATGGTTCGATTGACCGAGCCGCTGTTCGCGAAAATTGATGCGACAGGAACAAGGAAAAAAAAAGGTCTCGATGGGTCGCAGGCTCCCGGAAAGATTAATTTTAACGTGGAACGAAGTCCTTCGCGAACTCTCACTCGCTTTTGTAAAGTTTTCTTCGCTCGTTGGAGAAACTGAGGGAGTAAAAGGCGGGGAAAAATTAGGTTCGTTGTTTGTGAGTTGTCAGCACTTCAACTTGTTAACGATACATTTCGATATATTGTAGTTTGTTATTTCTGTTCAATTGTTCGAGAACAGATACGTGTAAGCTGCGAAGTTCAATAATTGAATAAATTTTATAACAACTTTGGTACTTGTTATTTAGTTGCTTGGTTCTAGGGAAGTGACACTTTTGGACAGGTACATTTTGTTAATTTGGTAAATTTTTTGTTACATTAGAGTTTTACTGGATTTTTGTTTTATTGAGCTATTAGAATACTTTATTCTTTTTCTGTTCGAGTAATTTACTATATTATTTTATGATTTTACTGCTTAAGTAGTTTATTATTATACTATTGCACTATGTTATTGTTTCAATACTTTGCTGCTGTACTGCTTAAATACTTCACTACTTCACCATTTAAATACTTCACTGCTTCACCACTTAAATACTTCACTCCTTCACTACTTCACCACTTAAATACTTCACTGCTCTACTACTTAAATACTTCACTACTTCACTACTTAAATACTTCACTCCTTCACTACTTCACCACTTAAATACTTCACTACTTGATTACTTCACTACTTCACAACTCTACTATTCCCATATCTTACCATTTTTATCATCTTATTATTTACTATTTCATTTTCACTTCAATCAATCATCTTCCAACTGCAATTTGTTCAAATAATTTACCAAAGCTCTGCAAACTTATAATACAAATTTTTCCAACAATTTAACTACACAATTTTCCTCGAATAAAATTTATTACTCCACCAATTCATATGGCACCTCAATAGAAACAGTAACGAATGCTTTTTGGAATTCACACGTCCTATAAAAATTAAATATGAGGGGTAAAATAGTATCAGCGATTAATAACGAGGCGAAACAAAGGGTTAAACGGTCTGTGACAAGCAACCGGTTCCTGGAACCGTGCCCGGAGCTTCATTCCATCTGGTTAGGGTTTACGAGGTCACCAGGACGCCGTAAAATCACGGTACCGATAACCACGATTCCCGATGATATTCCCTCGATTGACCTTTCCATAAGGATTAATCCAACCGATTATGCGTCGAGACAGGTTAAAGAATTCCACCTTGCCGAACAAATTGCTACGCCACGGTAACGAATCTCGTAAAGTGCAGAGTTTAGTGAACTGAGCGATATAACGCGCCGTTCGTTGACCGCTAACGAAAACACCACGGGTCCCCCTGGACACCGGCTCCGGAGGATTAAAAGTTTTACAGCCGTAGTAAAGATCGTCTCCTGTGAACTACCACTAAATCCTACTGGAAGGATACTCATTGCTGTCCACGAGAACGTCGTCGGAACCACCGCAGGATTTCGAGACGAAAATCGTAAACTTTCTTGACGTTTAGCACGCCTTTGGCGGATGCCCATTCGATACTGATTTTGATAACTACTGTTTTATTCTTTCTAATTTACAAATCTACGGTATGGAATTTGGAGAAAATTACATTACCACATTTTTCAAATTTCCAGGTGTCCGACTTCCTAGTTTCCCAAATTAGAAAACTTGAAATCTCACATCATCTTACTCTCACACATTAATCTTTCAACAGACGTCCAGATTCCCAAATTTTTTAAATTGCAATTTTTTATATTTCTAAGCTTCCATTGCCATCTCAAGCTTCCAAATTACCAAATTACCAAGTTTTTCAATTTCGAAATGATCGACTTCCTAATTTCCCAAATTAGAAAACTTGAAATCTCACATCATCATCTCATATCATCATCTTACCTCTCCCACACATTATTTTCCCAACTCGCATCTACTAATCTGCAGCCTTCAAATATCCCAAAATAAACTCCCCATAAAAATTTCCCTATAACAAAAAATTTTCCTCACAACAAGAAATAAAAGAAGAGAAGAGAAAGTTTATCAAACGTCCATTTAAACACTTATTCCCCGAGAGAATTGAAACGGTGTTGGTGAACCGAAAATAATCGATCACCGGATCAATTTGTCAAAGGCAAGTGAAACAAGGCGGGAAAAAGAAGAAGGTTTGATTAAGCGGTTTTAAATGAAAGTTGGACGGGGTCCATGGCACGTGTGTCGAGGCGTCAAGAATAATGTCGTATCGATCGAGGCCAAAATGGCGAACGAGATTCACGATCGAGAGACAAAAGTTCTTTTCACTGGGCCACACATGAACAGACGGTCGTCGAATCCTTTGTGGTTCAAAGTTCAACCGAGCTGCGGCTGACATTTAACGAACTGGATTAAATAATCCTATAAATCATTTTGTTGAAGAACGTCCGACCGATCCATGAGAAATTGACCGACATATTTCAAAACCTTTCAATTGCGACGTACGAGTAAGACAGCTGTATTTTAGAATTATTCTACTTCTGTTTTATTATGCTCCATATTACGGTATATTATATATTCATTATTTATTGTTGTATATTATACACAGATATATTATTTGATATAGTTTAATAAATGTGTAATGTACAGTATGTTTTATGAACTGCATAAAATACAATTGTTAGTTACATTTGACAATTTAAAAATAAACCTCACAATTGAAAAATTAAAAATTTTGTTGGAAATGTATGTTGATTCTTATCGAGTTAAATACTTAACATGTACGTCAATTTAAATTTTGTCATGCATTACATATGGTAATTCTACATGTGACGATATAACGCGAGGTAACTCGATGCGTGGCGATATAACTCGAGGTAACTCGACACATGGTAATTCGACGCGTGGCGATATAATGCGTGGTAACTCGACACATGGTAATTCGACGCGTGGCGATATAATGTGTGGTAATTCGACACGTGGCGATATAACGCGTGGTAACTCGACACATCGATAATTCGACGCGTGGCGATATAACGCGTGGTAACTCGACACATGGCTATATAACGCGAGGCAATACAACGTCTGGCTATATAACGCGAATTAATATAACGTTCAGCTATACAACAAGTGGTAGTCCAACGCATGGCTATATAATGCGTGGTAAATCAACACATGGTTATGTAACGCGCGGTAACTCAGCACATGGCTATATAACGCGAAGCAATGCAACGCATGGTACGTGGTAACTCGACGTGTGGCGATATAACGCGTGGTAATTCGACACGTGGCGATATAACCCGTGGTAACTCGACACATGGTAATTCGACGCGTGGCGATATAACGCGTGGTAACTCGACGCGTGGCGATATAACGTGTGGTAACTCATCGTGTGGCGATATAACGCGTGGTAATTCGACGCGTGGCGATATAACGCTAGGTAACCCGATGCGTGGCAATATACCGCGCAATAACTCTACATAATATATGTGTCTCCATATTAAACAAACTTACCTGAATATTACAGGAGAAGAATCGTCTCGTCGACCCTGTGCACCTGCTGTACCCATTCTCGCTGCAACAAAATAATTCCTCGATTATTAAACGACAATAATTTAAAAAAAAAAAAAAAAAAAAAAAATATACTGATCGAATTGAGTAACCTCCTCCTTTTTCGAAGTCGGTTAAAAAGCCATCGCACTTCACTAATGAAATTACAAAAACACTGAAAATGAAAGTAAGCAATAAGGAAGGAAAAATAAAGTGTCATCGAAAAAAACGTACTCGGATAAAGGCTCTTGATTTCGAATCAACGCGTTTCTTCCTAATTGATTCGAATCTCGATTGCGCGACCGAGATCTGGTAATCGTACACGGAAACGGTGTGGTTGGTATTTGTAATCGGGAATTCACAGTCCGTTGAATAGCATGTCGTTAACGAGCTTCTTTCTAGGGAACGCGAAGGAAACGCCAGCCAACGAATTTTCTTATCCTCCCAAAACTAGCAGCAAAGAAGTCCGTGGAAAAATGTGATTCGCTTACACTTCGGGCGGATTCTAAATAATCGTTGAAACCACTCGGGCAAGTTTTCACCTGGGAATCGGTCGGATTGAAACTAACTTGGCTCATCTATTTGTGAAGCACGAACAAGTTATTGGATTCCATTAGTCGTTTCCGAAAAATTGAGAGAAGTTCAATGAGGTTGCCGGGGAAATTGGAACGTTCCCGGGATTTTGCAGATGAGAACATTTTTCTTTCGGTTGATATCTGATGTAAAGAACGTTTAGCCGTGGAGGAATCATTAGTTTTTTAAGCGATGGTACGGGAGATTAAGGGAAGTGGAAATTTGGAGGTTAGGTTAGGTATTTATAGGTTAGATAACCTGTAAATGTAGTAACTAGTGAAGCATGTAACCTATGAATTTAGTAAGCTATACATCTACTAACATATAAATCTAGTAATTAATAAAACAAGTAATTTATAAATGTAGTAACCTATAAAGCAAGTAGGCTGTAAATCTTGTAACCTGTAAATATGTATAGTAACCTATAGATCTTTAAATCCATAAATCTACAAATCTACAAATTTAAAAATGTAAAAATGTAAAAATCTAAAAATCTAAAAATCTAAAAATCTAAAAATCCATAAATTTACAAATCTGCAAATGTAAAAATGTAAAAATGTAAAAATGTAAAAATGTAAAAATCTAAAAATCTAAAAGTCTCAAATCCTCAAAATTTCAGAACCTAAAATTCTAAAAATCCATAAATCTAAAAATGTCACCCTATAAGCACAGAAATGTGAAAGGCAATATAAGAGGACTATAATTTCAAATAACACGAATAACGTCAATTAGGCCATGCAAGAGAGTAACAAATGGAAAGTGGATTTTCCCATCGATAGAATCACCGATACGATTATCGGACTCGCTATCGAATTACTTGCACGTAATCGATCGATCACCGCGAGCAATTAATGTAATAACACTTGGGTTAGAATTACAGGCCACGCAAAAGCGTTCAATTTTGAGAGGCAAAGCGCGGAAGTCGCATGTTCAATTTGCGCATTAAAACGAATAGTAAAAGCGTGCTACGATCAAGCCTGACCTACGACACGATCTTTTCGATGCCATTAACTTATTCCACGCGTTAACTACTCTCACGGTTACGATTAGCCAACTTTCTCGATACATCGAACGTGTTATTAGCGATCTGTTCACTCTCGATCTCGCACTCACGTTTCCTCTCGTTTCATCAACGATTTTATCACTTTTCTGTTTTATATAACGTGGGAAAGGAAACATGTAAATACGTGTATTTATGTTTGTGAAAATATACAAAATGTACAAAATGTATAAAATATATAAAATGTATAAAATATAGTAAATATACAAAATGTACAAAATATATAAAATATATAAAATGTGCAAAATATACAAAATATATAAAATGTACAAATTATATCAAATATATAAAATGTACAAAATATAAAAAATATATAAAATGTAAAAAATATACAAACTATATAAAATGCACAAAATATACAAATAATATAAAATGTACAAAATATACAAAATATATAAAATGTACAAAATATACAAAATATATAAAATGTACAAAATGTATAAAATATATAAAATGTACAAAATGTATAAAATCATAAAATGTATAAATTGTACAAAATATATAAACTGTGCAATACATACAAAATATACAAAATATACAAAATATGCAAAATACACAAAATATGTAAAATATGAGTAAATTCAAGAATGTAATAAATAAGGTGACACATGTAAAAAATGCGTATGTTACATATGTTTGCATGTGTTTCATTTGAAGATGAAGTATTTATTTGATAAACTTGAGTACTATATTTTATCAATTAATTGAAAGTTATATATAAACAATAGTAATTGACTGACTGAATGATTATGAACATACAATATCCAAGAAATATGTCGAACAAAGAGAATTTTACAAAAATGAAACTATAATAAAAGTGAAAATTGAATTAAAAAAAAAATTGCAGAGAGAATCATAATTTTCGATAAACGTATAATTTGTCTATGAAGATACAATGTACAAGAAAAATGTCGAAAAAAGAATTTTACAAAAATCAACCTAAACTAACCTAACTATAATAGAAAAAAAAATTGCAGAAAGGACGATAATTTTCGATAAACGTATAATTTGTCTATGAAGGTTGTTTCGAGGGATCAGTATTCAGGAGAGACGTTGAAACTTCTTGTTCCATCCTGTGAACAAGAGAAATTCCAAGAGATAGGAGGAGAAGCGCACAAGTAGTTGCGATTAATCTCGGCTCTCCAGGCTCTTTCAGATAAGAACGATTTACCGTGATTCCTGGCGGAAATTTCGTGAAAAAATTCTGCAAGAAAATCGTCGAAGCGTGGCGACGGGATGAGATTGAATTTAAGCAAACCCATCTTCGTGGGAAAATAACGAAATGAAAAATTAATTTTCCATTACCCCGCGACGGCGTTGTCTGCCTGGTTGAAATTTCGGATCCACCGTTCCGCCTGTCGTTTGTTTGTGTTTACCTTCCAATTAATATTAAAATGTTTGTACCGAATGCAAACGGATTATTAATATTTACCGTAGTTCAATTATGGTGACATTCTGATTTTCTTGTTGACCTCAAATTTTTTATAAAAAGTATACTTTTTATTGAAGAGCGATACAATACTTTTGTACAGAGATGATATACTGTATGTTTTATATTGTGAACTTTATTCTTAGTTTCATCTAGCTAATTCTATGAACCTTATTTTCTATTCTACTCATCTAATAAACTTTTTTAAAATTTTTAATTCTATTTAATAACCACACCTTCAACATATCATCTACATATAATAAGCTTGACAGCTATTATTTACAGCCTCGAAAACCTTCTACAAAATTATATAACAAATAAAAAACTGTAATATAATTAATCATATTCAGCTACAATATTAAATAGAGAAAAGCAAAAAGATTGTAAGATTGCAAGAAAAAAATTGTAAGATTATAAGTAAATTTATAAGTAGTTATAAGTAAGATTATAAGTAAATAATGTGCAACAGAGAATTAAATAAAGAAAGTAATTAATAATTATTGTGACAACGTGAGTTGACCACAGTAGTCGAGACGTTACCACACGAAACAAGGCATGAAATTTCAGCGTGACTAAACAATCTCGGTAATCGATAAACTTACTCTATATCGAGACACTGTCTGGTTTGATGAGCGACACCACCTCCACAGGATCTGGAACAGGAGCTGGGTGACGACCACGGTCCCCATGTCCCTCGTTCAGGCTCGTCCGTGTCCAGCACGAAACTGCTAGGCAGATAGCTATCCCCATGCTGTCGACGATGTCTCTGATGCCTCAATTTTATGTGGTGCTGCAACACAATTGTAATTCGATAAGTCGATTGATGACGAGTTGAGATATATTGAAAATTTGGGGATATAGAAATTTCAAGATTTGGTCAATTGAAGGGTTGGGAATTAGGGAGTGTGAAAATTTTGAGGGGTGATTTGAAAAGGGGAGAATTTGGGGATGTGAGAAATGGGGAATTGAGAATTGGGGATTTAGGTATTGGGGATTTAGGAAGTGGGGGTTTAGGTATTGGGGATTTAGGTATTGGGGGTTTAGGTATTGGGGATTTAGGCATTGGGGATTTAGGTATTGGGGGTTTAAGTATTGGGTATTTAGGGATTGGGGATTCAGAGATTCGGGATTTAGGTATTGGGAATATGGGGAATTGGGAATGTGGGAAATTGGGAATGTGGGAAACTGAAAATGTGGGGAATTGGTAATGTGGGGAATTGCAAATGTGGGAAATTGCATATGTGGGAAATTGCAAATGTGGGAAATTGGGAATGTGGGAAACTGAACATGTGGGGAATTGGTAATGTGGGGAAATGCAAATGTGGGAAATTGCATATGTGGGAAATTGCAAATGTGGGAAATTGGGAATGTGGGGAATTGGGAATGTGGGAAATTGGGAATGGGGGAAATTGGGAATGTGGGGAATTGGGAATGTGGGAAACTGAAAATGTGGGAAATTGCATATGTGGGAAATTGCAAATGTGAGAAATTGAGAATGTGGGGAATTGAGAATGTAGAAACTTGAGAACGTAGAAAATTGGGAATGTAGAAAATTGCAAATTTAACAATTGAAAACTCAAAAATATAAAAATGTAAAAATTTAGAAATTAAGAAATTTGAGTATTTAGAAATTTACTGTGAAACTTGAAAATTTCAAAATTCATCAACTTAAAAACCCCCCAAACTTAAAACCCAACAATCCTAAAATTCAGAAACCCATACAAAAATTTATTAAAAATATTATTATACCCTACAACAATTCCTCAGAACTCGAGGTCAAAGAGGTCATCAGAGGGTAACTAAAGTGTCAGGGTCGAACAGACGTGAGAACACAAGGATAACCTTCGTCTGATCTAAGTGGCCTCTTATTCAACCTGCAGGCCACCTGCAGGTCCTCGTTCACGAGGTGCAATGGGTGCACCGGTGACCTTGATGGGAAACAACGTAGGCGTGATCCCCTTATCGGTTCGGTTCGATAAGGTATAGGCTTTTAGCGCTGATGAACGAGCCAACAGGACAACGGCGAAACGTGAATTACGTTATCGTCGGGTGCGGGTGTATTTTCGACGGCTTTATGGGTTAGAGGAGCGTCCTGCGAGCTTTATGGTGTTTATGGCCGCTTGTCCGCGAGAACGCTGCATCGTTACGTGTATTTTCGTTGATGCTGCTAGATCCGGAACGTTTTCTTGATAACGTAAAATGCTTTTAAAATTTTCGTACTTTGTTCTAAGCTGACTTTTAATATTAAGTTAAAAGTTAATTTGTAATAGTTTGAAATGTACGAGTTTGTAAAGTGTGTTGATTATTTGTAAAAGAAAATTCTTCAGGATTTGTGAAGTTAGAGATGTATTATCAAGTATTATTAAAATAAAATTGTTCCAAAGGTAAATATGTTCATTGATATAACGTCAAAACATTCAAGTAATAAAAAATTGTAATTTCTTTCAGAAAATTGGAACATAACCTCAAAAACCACATTCAAGTCCTCAAAACTTACACTTTTCTTCAGAACGTAGAAACATAACCTCAAAAACCACATCCAAGTCCTCAAAAATTATAATTTTCTTCAGAACATAGAAATATAACCTCAAAACCCACATCCAAGTCCTTAAAAATTACAATTTCCATCAAAAACTAAAAACATAACCTCAAAACCCACATCCAAGTCCTCAAAAATTACTCTTTCCTTCAGGACACAAAAACATAATCTCAAAACCCACATCCAAGTCCTTAAAACTTCCACTTTCCTTCAGAAAATAAAAACATAACCTCAAAACCCACATGCAAGTGCTAAAAAGTCACACTTCCCAAAAATAACATATCAACCTAAGTAAGATATAGAACTATTTTCAGAAGGAAAGTTAACAGACCCATCCATCATTCCCGAATCGAAAGAAATATACTGGAGTCTCCCAACCCTCCGTTTGCTAAGTTGACCCGGAAAGAAAAGGTTGAGATTAATATCCAAGCAAATGGTGCGACAATCGGACGATCTTGGAAGGTCTCCCGTTCTCGTTCCCATTTATTTCTCTTCTTTCACCCTTAAAGCATCCACATAACGTTCTTCTCGCTCGACTACCGTTGGCAACACTCCAAAGCAGTTTGCATTCGGGGGTTGTAAAGTGCATACACCCTGCTCTCGTTTTTAGATTAAATTATTGCTTACCACTCTTTGTTGTACGATCTCTTTGATGGGATCTTATACTACGTTAACTCTTTCTTACTTGATTCTTATCAAAATTGACGAATAATACAGGGACGGATTTTGGATTAAATAGACTGATGTACCATATTGATTTAACCTAACCATAGTTATGTACTACCTGTTATATTATACATATTAATATGTTAGCCTGTCTGCTTTGTGGGATTAAAAATAAATATAGCTTGCATCCAGTAACAGAATAAAATACCTATGAGATATTCATGCATTTTATTTTTGAGAGGTAAAATCAATAATCATATTTAACCAATATAATCGGGAAGCCAATATGTAGTTCAAATAACTTTTGTAGAACTTCAAATCATAAAATCTGTTAAAAGAATAAATATCGACTAAAATAAATAAAAGACGAATATAAACAAAATAAATAGAAAAAATAAAAAAAAATAAAACAACTTTCTGTAAATACCTCAAAGATTAACTAATCAAAATAAATAACTACATTCCAATAAAAAAGAGAATTTCAGTAAAAAGACGGTAAAGAGATTTCGTAATATAAAAGGTGAAATTCTGGTTCCTTTGAAAAATCTTGAAAAGAGAAGAAAATGGCGGAAGTCCGTAAGCACCGTCTCGCGGCGCGCAATTAGAAACCCGCCAAAAAGTCTGAGACGCGTCGGACTTCAAAGCGAAAGATCTCTTTTCCTCCGTCCGCGTAAACCGGCGAAAAAAATACGCGATGTTGGCAGCCGTAAATAAGGTTCCGTACAGCTGTTAGGTTGATTTTTGTGGAGCGTGGGAGAGCACATGGCCGGCCGATAGACACCAGAGGATAGGAGCTTTTCTTTTGCCGAGCATCTGCGCGACTACGTCGTGGACCGTAACGTGAGAATATACGACGATAATAATGGCACGTCTGCGACGCGGGTGACTATAAAACCCGTGTGCGAAACACCTCTCTAAGAGGTCCAACGGGAAACGTGCAGATTAAAAATCCCCGTCGACGGTTTCTTCCAGCTGACGAAAGTAATTTATGCGACGCCGAGCATCGCGATGTCACGCGAATCATATTTTCTTCCTGTTTCCGTTTTCTCTCTTGTCTGTCGGCTTGCAGGGGGCTTTCAGATATTCATTGGCGTGAAATTTTACTTTGAAATGAATGACGAGGTTTGAGGGGCGTTTTGAGGGTGAATGAAGTATGACTTAATCGTTTGTGATAGTTGCTGGCTCTTAGAGATTGGATAGTTTGTAAATTTGCTAATGAATGAATTTGAACATTTGAACATATAACTACAGTCAGTGTAAAAAGTATTCGTACAGTAATTAATTTCAACAAAAATGTTGTGAAACGTCATTTATTAACAAAATTTGAACAAATAAAAAATACATACATATTCTTAGATGTCTATGTATTCTATGTAAGAATGTATATGTATTTTTTATTTGTTCAAATTTTGTTAATAAATGACGTTTCACAACATTTTTGTTGAAATTAATTACTGTACGAATACTTTTTACACTGACTGTATATGTCATGTAACTGCACGTCACATAACTGTATGTCATATAACTACATGTTATATAAATACAAGTCATATAACTACATATGTGTACATGTGTATATGTCAAATAACTACATATACATATGTACATGTCATCTATACATACTATGTCCTGTAACTACATATGATATAACTACATGTCGCATACCTACAAGTCATATAACTACATATGTGTACATGTGAATATGTCAAATAACTACATATACATATGTATATGTCTTCTACACATACTATGTCACGTAACTACATATGATATAACTACATGTCACATAACTACAAGTCATATAACTTCATATGTGTACATGTGTATACGTCAAATAACTACATATACATATGTACATGTCATCTATACATACTATGTCATGTAACTACATATGATATACCTATATGTCACATAACTACAAGTCATATAACTTCATATGTGTACATGCGTATATGTCAAATAACTACATATACATATGTATATGTCACCTATACATACTACATCATACTACATATTACACTATACATATGTATATCTAATACACAAGTATGATACCCAGCAACATATCACGAAGACTACTAGAAATTCCTCGTCCGAATGGTCATCGACACCGTTCCAAAAATAAAGATCACGAAATGAACGGCATTAGTATGTCGCGCGGGAACTAGGTTAAGCACCGAGTCTGTTATTCAGTAATTAACGCGAAAAGGCGGCAACGTGGCCGGTAGTGAGCGTAATAACTCGACAAGGAGCGGCGATACTTGCCACGTAAACGGTTGCCTTGCAATTAGCCGCGTCGGGACTCGGCGCAGAAATAGCCGATCGTTTCGCGCGCGTGTCGCACGATGATGATGTAAACTCGCCCGCGTTGCACAGCTGCTGCCTTGCTTTACGACCAGACGGACGTGCACGCGACGGTTAGTCACCGCTTAAGAAGCCGTTTAATTACTTGATTTATCGCGGTCTAGTCGCGATCGCGGTCTATATTGCTGTGAGAATCGACCAGGACCTACTTACTTACATTTTATCTGCCGTTTGATGTCCATAATTTCACCGAAAGTGAAATTTCACAAAATTTTATAAGACAG